TTATTTCTGATTATTATTATTATTATTTTTTTTTTTTGAGACAGAGTCTCGCTTTGTTGCCCAGGCTAGAGTGAGTGCCGTGGCGTCAGCCTAGCTCACAGCAACTCAAACTCCTGGGCTCCAGCGATCCTCCTGCCTCAGCCCCGAGTAGCTGGGACTACAGGCATGCGCCACCATGCCCAGCTAATTTTTTTTTTTTATTACATATCAGTTGGCCAATTAATTTCTTTCTATTTATAGTAGAGACAGGGTCTCGCTCTTGCTCAGGCTGGTTTCGAACTCCTGACCTTGAGCATCCGCCCGCCTCGGCCTCCCAAGAGCTAGGATTACAGGCGTGAGCCACCGCGCCGGCCTATATTATTTTTGATACACAAAATTTTAATTTTTGATGAAGTCCAACTTGTCTTTTCTTAAAAGACAAATGTCTTTGTTGTCTGTGCCTTTGGTGCAAAATCCAAGAAATCATTGCCTAATCCAAGTGTCATGAAGTTCTGTTCTATGTTTTCTTCTCAGAGGGCAGCGTAGGCGCAGGTGGGTAGAGAGCTACGAACAGGAATTGTTTTCAGTTTTTAGTTCTTACGATTGCAACGCGTCGGTCTTCATGGATGAGCCCATAACTTGAAGTTAACTTTGCTCATGTAGAGTGTCAGGTCCTGTGAGACGTCCTGCTATCGACTCGTGTGTGCACAAGTGTTAGAAGCATTGCGGCCGCTTTCTCTTGGCACGCTTCTGGATTGAAACAGCTCTGTCCATGCTGGCCTGTCCCCACTGTGTAGTGTGTGGCCGTCTGCCTGGCGAGCTGGTGATCGATCCCTGACCATCCACTCCTGTAAACGCTCATTTTCTTGTCACTCTGTGTACACAACTATCACGGTGTCCTCAGGTGATTCCATGATCGTGGCCAGCAGGGCACACCTCTTTTATTATTCTTTTGAACTTGAAGTCTCTAGAACACGTCATTACAGAATGTTTGCTCCAGTAGCTTGAAGGTGCTCATTACTGTGTTCTAGAAGTGCCTGTGGCAGTCGTGCTATACTCTATAGCATATCCTACGCAACCTCTAAACTCCTGGCATCAAAGCTACAATCCTATGCTCAACTCCCGGAGTAGCTGGGGGAATATACAGGCATGCTTAGCCCTCCGTATGCCGTGCTAACTCTAATTTTTATATATTGTATATATGTCATTTCTAACTGGAGGACTTTCAGCGCCTACTTCAGTAAGATTATCTTTAGATTTCTGTCTTGTTCATTATGACATTAATGGTGCCTAAATTATTAACACCACTCCGACGGGCAAGTAACTTAAATAATCTAATGAAACTATTCAAAGGCAGATGATCACACTAGTGCAGTTTTATTTCAGCTTCTAAAATGTTTTTTGATCTCGCTCGCAGACGCTGTGTTACCCTTAGCTCTATGCTCAGAGCTTTTGAATGCTGTTTGACCTCGTGCGCCCATTGCACGACAATCATGGCTCTCCGAAGGGACCTGAGGGAAGACAGTGTGGCACACAAAACTTCTTCTTTGCGCTCTGCTTGCTCTCTCATACTGCCAACGAATGCTTAGGGGAATCACAGTCAGCAGTGAGCAACGATAGCTGTGGCCCCACACTTCTCATTATCAACATTTTAAGCATGTATAACACAACTATGTTTGAACTAGCCAAGCGAAGTGTGAGTTTACTTCCTCTGCAATAAACATTTATTCCTTTTTTGAAGATGTTAGGTTTGTATTCTTTTGGCCTCAAAGTGAACGTAGAGGCTTGTCTGTGAATTTCCACGTGCGACTCGCAAGCTGTCTTTACCGCGCTCGATTGTCTCTACTGATTCCTTCTTCTAGCGTACTTTTATCCTGTCTTGGTGTTTTTGCCTGCCACGTACTAGGCTTCCTGTCGCCCTATCATGAATGCGAGTGCGATATGATGTGTCTATGGCAGTCACTGCAGTTTGACTCGCTCCTTGTGTCGTCAAGTGATCCTTACCCAGAATGCCTCAAGCACCGCTCAGGACTAACCAAGTATGTCGACGCTACTATGCCATAATTTTTCTCAAGGTTATTGTTGTATTAGACGCAGAGTCTTGCGTGGTCTCAAGTCTTCAACTAGCTCCTTGTCTCTAAGTGAATACCCCTGCTGGATGTCTCTAGTCCCCCCTTCCCA